CATAAATACATATAGAAAATTCCTGGATAAAAATATTTTTTTGGTAAATGATAAAAATCTCTGTTACTGCTACCGAAATTTCAGCGTTGACCGTTCGGAATGTTGAAAGAAAAAACTAAAAGAACTTTTGCATTTGTTAGGTGGAAAGTCTTCAGAGTGAGTCCTAACCTATTGAGCACACCTACCCTTTCCCGATGAAGATTTTTTTTAGGAGAAAATAGGGAGCTTAATTTACAGAATCAAGTAGATAATAAGGACCTCGTGGTCAAATTACACTCCCCCAAAAAAAGGAAAAAAAAAATTCATGGTTAAACGTAACAGGTAACACAAATCAATTTTCAGTTACATTTTGACTTGAGTTTAATGTTGAATTCTTGATATGTTTTTGCCTTTTTAACAACAAAATTTTATTAATAAAATATAAAAGTACGTTTACCTTTCCATACATACAGTGTTTTGTAGTTTTCTTTCACTATTGTTTAAGGAAAATCACTGTTAATCCAACAATAACAATTTCTCAAAGAAGTCTGCACCACCAATTCATTTATGACCCACCCTCCTTTTCTGAATCAAATTGATTGATGTTTTTCAGGAATTAATACGACCTTGCTTCTATCATTCCCAGCTGTTTCTTAACATCAACCACTGAACCTCTGAAAATATCATTTCATTCATGTTCAAACATGTGGTCCAAATACACTACTTTCCACCCCACATTAGGCGCCCTTCTTCCCACCCCACATTAGGCGCCCTTCTTCCAGCAGGCCAATAGTGTTGTATGAAAGCTTTTTGGCAGTGCATATGAAACACCTCACCCGTGGAAACATTTTCATCCATACCTCGATTGTAAGTTACTTGGCAAAACAACAGCAAATGGTCTACACTTTCAGCATGTTACTCCGCATGGTTCACATGGTCCAACACTTTAAACATATCATAAGCTTTCTTGATATATTTTTGTAATTTTGAAAAAAATGGGGCAAATAAAAAATGAGTAAAACCTAAGTAAAATTCAAAGTTGTCATGGGGTTTATCTCAATTTTTATACTTGGCGTAATAATATAATAATTTGTAGGGCTTATATATAAGTTTGTTGCTAGCTACCACCAACTGCATGGTCTAATGGTAGAATAATTTTTTGATAATTATATATTTAAGTTTAATCTCTACGTACAAAAAATAAAATAAAGTAAAAGTTTGTTGACTATGCAGAAACCTAAAAAGGGTTAAATTTTAGACTATTATCCTACTTTATATATATATATTTTATATTTGCTATTTAAGTATTCTTAAATTAATTTTTATATATTTTAAAATTAATCACTATTGATACGTTGTGAAATATTTACCTTCATATTAAAAAATTAATATTTGTAAATGCGGACATCCAACTTACCTACAAAATTACATTGAACACTTGGAAAAAGTCTTAAGTGCAAGAAACACCACTTCAAATACGAGGAATTTAATCCAGAAATTACAGGAAGGTTTCTCGGAAAAATGCAATGCAAAGACCCGAACAGGATATATATATGCAAGGGTTCTAATCCATATTCCTCCACCATCAATTCAGTGATTTCCGTATCCTCTTTTCCTTTCTTCTCCGTGGAAATTCTGCTCACCTACAGCCGAGGTTGTTGAGAGTCAACCCGTGTCTAACTTTGATCTCCGGTCAACCTCACCGTTTTACGCCACCGTCATTCCCTCCTCGACCGAGCTCTGAAGCAAGTAAGCAACGCCGACTTTTCCGATCCTTTTCCTCGGAAAATCAGTGAGCCGGGTGATCTTTTACAGACAGGTGGATAGTCAGAGTATCGACGGACAAATTTCTCTACCGGCGAGTGGTGGCCACGAAATGGGGGCGGAGTCGGTTCCTGGCGTCGGAGATACGCTGACAGACTGTCAAGGTGCTTCGTTGTCGCTTCCGCTGGCGGCTTACGACGAGTCGAGTGCCGCTGTAAGGGTGCAGAAGGTGTATAAGAGTTATCGCACCAGGCGTCGGCTAGCCGACTCGGCTGTGGTTGTTGAAGAGCTATGGTAAATCCATGGAAATCTTATTCGTTATTATTATTTTTTTATTACCTAGAAGTTTTTCTCTTTTTAATTAGTATAATTAGAATATAGGAAATGAAGTTATCAAGATTTGACTATTGAATTTCTAAATATTATTATGTTTTTCATAAAAATTATAGTTGTTGGATCGGTGGATGATTAGCTACTTTATATTAGGAAAGTTTGAATATCATATTTTGATCTTTGATTAATGTTTTTAAATTAATAAGAGTAATGATAGAGATGATAAAAATTTAAAATTAATGATGTAACTTATGTTATATTAGGAAATTAGTTATTATATGTTATATTATGAGTTTTAAAAAAATAAAATGAGTTAATTATTAAATAATATAAAATTTATTTTTTAATATTTTAAATAATATAATTTATATCATATTATTA